GAAAATGTGAGTTTAACTGCAGCAAAATGAGGATGCTGAATTGTAATGAACTTTAACAAGGTGTCAATCCATAAACTTTCTCTCTGCGCCTCAAGATAACCTCTGAAATGAAGACATTTAGACACTTCAAAGAACCTCCAGGGAGAAGCAGTTCCCTTGATATTGAACTTGAATTAACAGCACAAAATTAACTTTCTGGACACTATATGATTCCCTTTGGCCTCATCCTATTATTATTGGCTTATTTTGTACATTTCCCACAGGTGATGACAATGTTCTAAACACTCTAGCGTGAGTGGTAATGAACAACTGTGTTACCCTGGACCTCCTGCTGGCCAGCTGAAGCAGGATATGTTTCGCCGCTGACACATCTTGCTGCACCCGGCTTACTGATTTAATTGGCTTGGGTCTGCATGGGGAGCCTAGCTGAAGCCATGTCCCCCTCATTACCCTGCCGGGAGTCATGGTCCTGGTCAGTCTTGTCTGAAGTTCCCTAAAAGAACAGAATCAATTTGGTATAAGCCCCTATGGCTACAGTTAATTACAATATCTGTGTTAGTCTCCTCTTGCTACTGTAACAAGTTACCAGAAACTTAGCAGCTTAAAACAAAACAAATGTCCGGTCTTGTAATTGTGAAGGTCAGGCATCTGAAATGGGTCTCACTGGGTTACATTCAGGGTATCCACAGGCTGTGTTTTTTCTGGAGGCTGTAGGGGAGAATTCATTTCCTTGCCTTTCCAGCATCCAGAGGCTGTCTCCATTCCCTGGCTTGTGGCCATACATCACTCTGATCACTGCTTCCATTCTCACATCTCTTCCTCTGACTCTGACCCTACTGCCTCCCACTTTTGCTTAGAAAGGTCCCTGTGATTACACTCAGCCCACCTTAATAAGCTGGGGTGCCCCCCCCCCCATCTCAAGAACCTTAATTTAGCCACACCTGCATAGTCCCCTTTGGCATACAAAGGAATATATTCACAGGTTCTGGGGATTAGGGCATGGACATCTTTGGCAGGGGCATTATTCTGCCTATCGCACAAAGCATCTACAAAGAATTCTTGGCTAGATACATGAAAAATCAGGGGCCAGAGTTGTAGAGAAATGGCTCTGCCACAGTGCCCTTGAGACTTTGTATCTATCCACATAGGCCATGCAGGCAAAGGGCCTGACTGTGGCAAATGTGAATGTTGGCAGAACGCCCTGCGATCTTCCCAGAACATGAGGGATGGGAGGCCTGGAAGTAAGGAGCTACTATGAGGCCACCTCCCACTTACCTCCCCTGGGAAACTGTCAGAGGACAGTTTCTCATTGCCTCTTAGGTTCTGAGGAGGTAAGGGAGTTTTTTGCCCTGCCCCATTCAGAACAGAAGTGCAGAACGTAAAACTGCTTGGTCGCAGTCTAGGTTGGGCTCTTCAGCTATGGGGAAGCGGCACAAAGAGTACAGGTTAAAGTTGATGGTCTTTGTGTCCGCCAGTAGAGGAACCTCCCCACCCTGCCCCCGGGGAGTATGCCAAAATGATGTTATCTGTGTAGTCTGAAGGCATGAGTTCTACTTCCCGGGTACTTGCCTGTCTCTCCTGTGAAACTTTTACACAACAGAACATTTTAGCCAAGTGTAGAACTTCAAATCAAATGTCATCCATCTAGGTGGTGATATCTGGGAGGAGTGCTCTAATGAAGGGAATAATCATGTTTAACTCTAGTCTACCGTCAGCCTCACTGATGCTTAGTGGCTCTAAGCACAGGCCGACCAGGGAATTAAAAGGTGAAATGGCAGGAATCTGTACCCTTTCAGCGCCTTTGCTTGGCCAGTAATTACGGCAGCATATTGACCACCAACCTCCACTGGTTAACTGGTTCTTAACAGCTGGTGCCCACCAACAGCAAAAAGCTTTAGGCTCATTTCATGAGGGTGGCTCAGCAGGTCCCATCCTAATCATGGGAAAAGGTGATTGTCTGGAACACCCAGGACAGAATCTTGTAGCCAAAGTGCCCGATTTTAACAGTTAAGCTGGTTCCTGCCCCTTTTGTTAATCCTCCTCCCAAGGTATTCACTTCCTGGGGCTGGGGAAAGGGTTAGGCCCTTAAGAAGAGAGATGATGCGTATTACTTCCTCCAAGAGTCAACCCTTTTTTTTTTTTTTTTGCCTTCCCCTTTTGCCTTTTGGTCTTTTACAAGTTTTTGGATGGTCACTGGCAAAGTGGAGGATAAAATGTCTTCGTTCTTACAGTGGTGACACTGCATTTTTTTTCTAGCAGAGAATGTCAGTCATTTTTTTTTCCCCCCCAGAATCCTTCACTCTGTCCTGTCTCATCTCCCCCAGGAGCTTGGGCTCTTTCCTCCTCTGGGTGGTATGAAGTTGTGGTAAGCAGGACGCAACAGCCATCTCGTGGTTCAGAACATTTTTTCAGTAAAACAGCCACCTTCTTTGGGCTCCTGGGAAAGGCAAGGATATAAACTTCTTTGACTTTAGTTACTTTAATGTTTTGGCTGGCTGGGCCCAAGAGTTGGGGGTCTCAATGGCCCTCTGGGGCGGGGCTGGAATGCGATCCTAGACAGTAGATCTGAGTGGGACTACAGCTAAAGCCTGCTGGCTGTGGACAAAGGCACCTCCCCCAACTGTGCTTAGGAGACCTGCCATCCCTGCCTTATGGGCTTATGAACCTGTTGTAGCAATTCCTAGGGACTTGTCTAGTCTCAGAGTATCCCAAAACGCCAGTTGGCCATGGGGACCTCCTCTCGCTACAGCCCATGATGGGGTCAGAGGCAGCCCACCCTTGGTCCAGACTTAGGCACTTCTCCCCTTTTCCTGCTTGGGTCCGGAAGTCTTACAGGGTCCAGAGCTGCTTAGTGGGGGACCAAGCAGGCAGGCTTACCTCTCTCCCCAAGCTGCTGCACCTCTGACCCCAAAAGTCAGTTCCAATGATGTTCACTCAAATACCTATGAGGTAGGGAAGCTGAAGGGACTCCATTTTATTTATTTATATTTATAAATGTTTAAAAATGTTTTTATTTATTTTTGAGAGGGAGAGCACGAGTGGGGGAGGGGCAGAGAGAGAGGGAGACAGAATCCAAAGCAGGCTCCAGGCACTGAGCCGTCAGCACAGAGCCTGACACGGGGCTGGAACTCATGAATCATGAGATCATGACCTGAGCTAAAGTTGGACACTTAACTGACTGAGCGCCCCAGGAGCCCCAGGACTCCATTTGAGAATGACCTCATCTCTGCTGTTTTTCTGCTTGGCCCCATTTACTCATGTTCAATATTTTGCCTTTGAATAAGACAAAAAAGCTATGTTCCCATTCAGGGGGGAAGGCAAGAGAGTTAATCATTCTTTGAATTTCATCCTAGGCCCCAAATACCTGATAACACCTAAGAAGAGCCAGATCCCAAACATGTTCCAGGACATTAGCTTTGAACAAGCCTTGGTTGATAATGGCATCAATACCCCTACCTTTAGTAATTTGTGGAGTCTATTGCTCACCTGACACTTGCCTTTGATTGGACCCTACCCTGGATTCCTGAAGAAAAATGTACTCTAGGCCCTTTTCCAATATAAATCCCTAACCCCAATTCTCTTTTCCTTTCCTAGTCTCCCAGACACTCGGTCTGCCATTCTCCATCACCGATGCTATTATTCAAGAAACTCTGTTTTTACTTTCTCTGGCTTGCATTTGATTTCAATCCTGTGAGAAGCCAAAGGCCCCCTTCACTGGTCCTGTGGTACCCTCCTCTGGGTCCCTGGGCCCACCCTGCCTGCATCACCTGCACTACCACTTGTTGAGGCTAATGAGACATAGTGGGAGATCCCAAAAAATATACAGAGCAAGGGGTGCCTGGGTGGCTTAGTCGGTTAAGCAACCAGCTCTTGATTTTGTCTTAGGTCATGATCTCACAGTTCAAGTGTTCGAGCCTTGCATTGGGCTCTGTGCTGTCTACTTGGAGCCCACATAGGGACTCTCTCTCCCTAGCTCTCTACCACTCCCCTGCTTGCTTGCTCTCTCAAAATAAATAAACTTCAAAAAATAACAAAACACGCAGAGCAAAACAGCACAGAACAACACCATGTCAAACTGACACACAGGTATTTTAGAGTTTCAACCGCTTGAAACTGTCCAGTATAGTTTTGTCAATCGATTGTCCTGTTGACTGGTGGTCCCTATTATCTATTTCCTGATTACCTCAGTCGCATCCTGATCACCTGTAGGGAATTTGAGAGATCTGAGGACTGATCTAGGGAGAAGACAGGACCACAAGAGGTAGAAAATCCAATGACCTTTACTGGGTTGACAAAGATTTACCATCCACTGACCTCCACCGTACCTCTTGCCTATAAATTCTCATTTACCCATAAGATACTTGGATTTGAACCTGCTTTTACACTAAGGTCTCTTTTCCCCTGTTGTGATAGTGCTGAATAAAATTGGTTTTACCAGTTTAAGTCCACCACTGTTTTTCCTTCAACAGGGTGGCTCTTGGACAGGGTTGTGTGACAGGGGAAGTCCCAACATGAGACCATCCAAAGGCTTATGGCACAGAAGCCACCATCCAGAAGGGGAGGAGGGCAAGGGAACCCCTGGGGGAAAAGGGCATCTGGGAGTGGTCTTACTGTCTAGGTGACTTTGCTCAGCACAATGGAGGAGTCAGAGCTCTGAAAGGCCACAGCAGCTTGGTGTTTTACTAGGCTCTATGTCTTATCAGTGTTCAGTAGATGCTGGGTGACATTTTCACAGTATCCAAAGCAGGGAGGCTCTGAATGGCTAAAAATATGCTTGTTGGGCTATTTTAAAAGTTGGATATGCAAAAGTTTGAGTTTGGCCCCAGAGGGCTTTTGAGTTAATGGGTCACAGCCTGTAGTGAAGAAATAAACAACCCAAAGGCCAATACACAGAGTGGCTTATTAGCATAACAGACCTTTATCTCACACTACACACTAAAATGAATTCCTTGAGGAGTAAACATTGAGAAGTTTTAAAAATAATAAAATGTGGAAGAAAATTAGGAAAATAACTTTTATACTCTAGAGTTTAGGAAGATTTAAAAGCAAGCTAGGAGGGGCACCTAGTGGGCCAGTTGGTTAAGCCTCTGACTCTTGATCTCAGCTCAGGTCTTGATCTCAGGGTTGTGAGTTCAAGGCCCCCCTGCTTAAAAAAAAAAAAAAAAAAAAAAGCAACCTAGGAAACCCAGAAAACATTCTTTAAAAAGTATAGGCTTGGGCGCCTGAGTGGCTCAGTAGGTTAAGCGCCAGATTCCTGATTTTGGCTCAGGTCATGATCTCACAGTTCATGAGTTTGAGCCCTACATCAGGCTCTGCACTGTCAGAGTGGAGCCTGCTTGGGATTCTCACTTTCTCTCTGCCCTCTCCCGCTTCATGAGGTTTTTTGGGGGTGATAGTGGGGCTTGTGGGGTCCAGGTTTGATGACCAAGAAAGAAATTTTGAAGACGTTTTTAGCAAAAAGGTGATTTTATTGAAGCACGGGGACAGGACCCATGGGCAGGAAGAGCTGCCCAGGGACCATGAGGAGAGACTGGTTATATACTATGGGGTTAGGGGAGGTAAAGTCCAGGGGAAGTTTTCAGTGAGATTTTCATATGCTAAAGAAGACTCACAGAATAGTGGAGGCCCAGCCATTGTCAAGCTAGGGTTGTTTTTCCCTCTAGCAAAGCATTAGCATTAAGACCAGAAGGAGCTCCTGTAGAAACATTTTAATCTGCCAGCCTCAAGTATTTGTCAATGGGCTGGAGGTTATAGGAAAATTTATTTCTTTTTTTTTTTTTAAATTTTTTTTTTTTTTTCAACGTTTATTTATTTTTGGGACAGAGAGAGACAGAGCATGAACGGGGGAGGGGCAGAGAGAGAGGGAGACACAGAATCGGAAACAGGCTCCAGGCTCTGAGCCATCAGCCCAGAGCCCGACGCGGGGCTCGAACTCATGGACCGCGAGATCGTGACCTGGCTGAAGTCGGACACTTAACCGACTGCGCCACCCAGGCGCCCCAGGAAAATTTATTTCTATCTGCCATTTCCTTCTGCCTTTGTTTACCACTTTACTATGGAGGAGTGATGGAGACTTAGGTCCTGCAGGACTATGATCTCTATCAGATAACCATTTGTTTTTCCTTTTCCTTTGTTCTTGGGCAGCCAGGAGTGTCGGAGGAATATCACACATATCCTACCTGGGGTGTTTGCAGTCTGTCAGCTTGCCTTATGCTCCCTCCTTACTGCTCATTCTCTCTCTCTCAAAATTAAATAAACATTAAAAAAAAAAAAAGTACAGACTCGGGGCGCCTGAGTGGCTCAGTCAGTTAAACATCAGACTTTGGCTCTGGTCATGATCTCATGGTTGTGGGTTTGAGCCCCAAGTCAGGGCTCAGAACCTGAAGCCTGCTTCAGATTCTGGGTCTCCCTCTCTCCCTGCCCCTCCCCACTTGTACTCTGTCTCTCTCAAAAAATAAATAAACATTAAAAAAAAAAGTATAGACTCAAAAGTATAGACTATTGGGTTATGTAAAATTAAATATTGTATACAGATATGACATCATAAAGTTAAAGAAGCAAAGTTATCAGTTAATAGATGCAAGAACATTTGATTACATTGATCAAAAACTGATAATACATCTTCATAAACCAGATTTTAAAAGGTACTTCATTAACTTCATAAAGAACACAATCTGAGTTTTGTGTCTCATGTCCGTGAAGTACAGCCAGACCAATACTAAACCATCCTGCACACCTAGAAAACTGATCTGAGGATTAACACAACAATCCGCACAACCTGAACCACAGAATCCAGCAGGGATACAGATGGTTCCTGGCTTAAGATGTTAGATTTAAAATTTTTTGACTTTATGATGGTGTGAAAGTAATATGCATTCAGTAGAAACCATACTTTGAATTTTTAATTTTGATCACATCCCAGGCTACTGATAGGTGGTATGATACTCTCTTTTGATGCTGGGCGGGGGTAGCCAGCTGCAACCCCAGTCAGCCATGAGATCATGAGAATAAACCACCAGTACACTTAAAAACCATTCTATGTCCATATACCCTTTCTGTTTTTCAAGTTCAGTACACTGCTTAATAAATTGCATGAGATACTTAACACTTTATTTTTTTTATTATTTAAAAAAAAATTTTTTTTTTCAACGTTTATTTATTTTTGGGACAGAGAGAGACAGAGCATGAACAGGGGAGGGGCAGAGAGAGGGAGACATAGAATCGGAAACAGGCTCCAGGCTTGAGCCATCAGCCCAGAGCCCCACGCGGGGCTCGAACTCACGGACCGCGAGATCGTGACCTGGCTGAAGCCGGACGCTTAACCGACTGCGCCACCCAGGCGCCCCAACACTTTATAAAAGATAAAATAAGCTTTGTGTTAGATAATTTTGCCCAACTGTAGGCTAATGTAGGTGTTCTAGGCATGCTCCAAGTAGGCTAGGCTAAGCTATGATGTTAGCTAGGTTAGGTGTATTAAATGCATTGTAGACTTAATGGTATTTTCTACCTGGGATGGGTTTGTCAGGGCATAGCCCCATTGTAAAGTCAAGGGAAACTGTAAATATACTTCCTTTAATAGATTCAGGACTATGTAGCTCTTCAACTTCTTTTCACAGCTTCAGTTTGTTGTAAGTTTCAAAATTTGTCAATTTTATGTAAAATCTATTTTAAATAGAATGATAGATGAATGAATACATCTCGATGTATAAGTGTGTAAAAAAAAAACAAACAAAAACAAACACAATCTACAGCAAATAGCTTACCTAGCATCCTTGATAATCATTACCGACCAAGACAAGAATGCTTGATTTCTTTCTGACTTTACAACAGTTTGAGAGGTCCTGCACAAAGAAACGAGGTAGTATTAGAACAAGAAAAAAACAGGGACAGAAAATTGTATTTATACGGAAAATCAAATAACGTAATAACAACTATTAGAGGAGAGCCAGGTTTCCAGGTAACTGGACTTGCATAAACAATTATCAATAGCCTTTCTCTACAAGAGCAGTAATCAATAAAACAATGAAAGGGAAAACTAAAGACCTAAGAAAAGGACTGAATTAATGGAAAGGAGATCTTAGGAAGTGGTATAGGCTTAAAGTTATAACTATCGTGTCCTGTGCATAACAAAGTGGAGAAGGATATAAATTCAAAAAAACGCAATTGAGCATCCAGTTGTCTGGCTTCGGAGCCTGAATGGGAGCCCCTAACCCTATCCCCGCCCCCTAGACCTCAGCTCCCCAAGAATTGCCAACCAAGTCTCGCTCTTCCACCTGGTCTCACCGTAAACCGTGCCCTTCGGAATAGTCAACTAAGCCACGCCCCTAGGCGTTGTCTCGACCCAGCTCCGCCCCACAGTCCTAGTCAACCAAACCCCGCCACGGACCTGATGCCCCCCAGTCCCGTCCAATTCCAAATCCTGCGCTGATTCTCCCCCCAGGGCTCAACCGCCTCTCTCCCCAGAAGAAAACTAGCATTTCTCTTCCACTCGCGGCCAGAAAGAGACGCCTCCCGCCCGACCACCCCTCGTAATCTTACGGCGCAGCTACCGAGGCTCCGCCCCTTACGCTGTGCGAGGCCCAGAAACCGGAAGCAGAAGTGGACTCATGCGCCTGCGCGAGCTGGCGGCCATATCTCTTCGGTCCCCGTCTCGAGTCTGAGGTAGTTAATTACCTCCGTTCGTGTCCTTCCCGGCTGCCCCTGGCCAGCGCCAGGTCCGACCCACTGGAGGCGGAGAGGTCGGCATTTACAGGACGGCCTCTCGGCCGTGCCTCCTATCCCCGCTGGAACCCAGCGGCAGGGCCGCCGTTCGTCCCGAACTCACTGAATCCGGAGCTCTGGGCTGCGTCCAGCAGCCGGGGTGAGTCGGCTGTAGGTTAGAGTTAGAGAACCACCTTCGTATTTAATCGGCCTTCCAAAGCATCTTTTGGTGTCTTCTCAGAAAGTAAAAGCATCCCTGCCATTCGGGTTACGGGGACGAGCACCTCCACCTCGTCTGTACGTTGGTCTGGATTTCAGCGTGTTCGGTGAGCACGGGGTGGTGACATTTGCTTCAACTCCGTTCCCATCTCTCCCCTCCTGGGGCAGGAGATAGTTGATCGGAGAACTTTACCTTGCCTGTGGGCATCCATTTGATACATTATATCCAGGTACATAAATGTGAACTGATTACTTACTATCCCTGTTACCCCTCCCTCGTGGAATGCAGCTATAAATTTTAATCATTTATCTGTAGATTGTTTTGAATTTCATACCGAGAGTGCGGTCTTGTGCCATTCTCAGCATTTTCTCTTTTATTCTTGTACCTTGCATTCCTTTTTCTTTCTTTCTTTCTTTTTCTTTCTTTCTTTCTTTCTTTCTTTCTTTCTTTCTTTCTTTCTTTCTTT